GGGGACAGAGTGACCACAGACAGACTGACCAACAGGACAGCACACAGACTGAGGGGACAGAGTGACCACAGACAGACAGCACACAGACTGAGGGGACAGAGTGACCAACAGGACAGCACACAGACAGCGGGGACAGAGTGACCACAGACAGACTGACCAACAGGGGAACACACAGACAGCGGGGACAGAGCGAGAGGATGAAAGAGCTGGCCCAGTGCCGGACGAGCAGAGTGAGACACAGACAGGGGCCAGACCCCCAGACGGGCGGCACCAGCTCACATGGTGGTGGTCTTGCCGGCCCCGTTGTGCCCCAGGAAGGAGACGACCTGGTTCTCGTGCAGGTTCAGGCTGAGCTTGTTCAGGGCCAGCTTGCTGCCCGTCTTGTAGACCTTGGTCAGCTTGTCGATGCAGACCACCAGCGGCAGGTGGCTGGGCTCCTCCTCGATGCCCCGGGTCTCCTCTGGAACACAGACACAGGCAGGGGGGGGCTCAGGGGAGACGGCCCAGGATCGGACTGCCACTCCGGGTTCATCCACATCATCACACATCATCTGATGTGGACTAATCCGGCATGTAGCCCCTGGACCTGACCAGCACAGTTACTTCCACACCATGTCCCTGCACATTCTAGGGACTTAAAAGTGAGCATCCAGCATGTTAGCGGTGGCTAAGCAGTGCGTACCAGATCGGCGATGCTCCATGGCACAGGCCTGGTCCTCCTCCATGACGCTGAGCCTGGCCCCGCCCCCCCAAGGCCACTCCCACGCCTCCACACGCCCACTGCCCAGCCAATAGGATTTCTGCAGGGGGAAGTACCAGGGGCGGGGCAAACCGTACATCCCTGCGAGACGGAGAGAGGGGAGGTTCAGCAAAACGATGTACGACTGGCATTGTTTTTCAGAAATCGCTTCGGCGGTGCATTCCCACATTTCCCGGTGTGTATATCCCCCCCCACTCTATCCACGTGGGATTCCCAACAGCGTCCGGCGCCTCTCACCAGGATGCACGGCCTCGATGTACCAGGTGAGCACGCCGTAGACAGCGGCGTCGATGATCAGCATCACCATGGACAGCAGCAGGTTGAAGTCGTCGCCCTCTACTGGGGACTGGTTCAAAGTGCGCCACTGGATGCCCACTCCCGCCACCTCGTAGAGGGCGAAGTACTTCGAGCCCAAGCCGAACGCCGTGGTGGACATGAGGGACTGGGGAGAGGGAGGGAGGGAAAGGGATTTAGCGGAGGAAATCCCGAGGAC